TATATATATATGTATTATATTACACATTATATATTTATTTTAATATTAATATTAATAATGTTCTTTGCATAATTCATAGAATTTAAATTTGATCGAAAATGAGACGATAGATAATAAAGATGTATTTGATAAAGTTACTGAAAAATCCAAGGAATCCTCTCGAAAACGTAAATCTCCTTCTCCGTTGCCGACGGCACCACCGAATAAAGTTCTAGTAATATCTGAGTCATCGAATCATATTTTGCGGACTTCTGAAAATAAGCAATCACAAGTTCTACAAGTAACCAAACATCAAAATTTTGCGTTAATTAAGGTTAACGAGACCTCAGGTTGGTTTCTTTTACTTCTTCTTTCTACTTTTATGTAAAGTTATAGAAAGCAACAACAATATTGCTTCTGTTAGATTAGATAAGAATTAGATAAGAAACGAATTATTTAACATAGAATGATAATGTTTGTTCAACGTTTCGCGAGTTAAATGTTTCTATTTTCATTATCTCAACGAGAGAGAGAGAGAGAGAGAGAGAGAGGGGGGGAGGGGGAAGGAACAAAAAGAATACAATCTCTCAGTATTTAGTTGTTTTAGTCCATTTTTTTTTAGTTTTCTGTTTCACTTAACAAGATGATGGAGAAATGGAAGCGTTTAGCTCGCGAGCAAAATTAGATTGAGCTGTTACAAAACTAAAATGATATCAGTACCTGAGAATAAGCTGAGAAATTAATGTAATTGAAAGAAAAATATCTATATGATGTTTAAAAATGATTTTCTAAATTATGAATTATGCGATAAAATGGAAAATGTGCTTTCTTTTTTGGACAACAAATTTTTTTATATATTCGAATACTTAAATCTTATCAATAGTCCAAAGGATTTGTGGGTTATTACTGTGTCGTGATTCATTGTTAAAATGTCAATGTTTCGTGAATCTTGCCGTTCACTTCATCAGGAGGAATGCACCGATACTAGTATCAATATCAATATCAGATTATCCGCAAACTCTTTGGTATCTCTGAAGAAAATATCTGTGAAAGCTTTAAAAGTGTTATAAATTTTATCAATATATTTTTTGTATGTTAATTAATTAATTTTTAATTGTTTTATAAATTTAGATTCTGTGGAGAGTACAACAGTATCAGAACATCCGAGTGAGTGCACCACAGTTTCATTAAACAAACATGTAGTTGTTACAACAACTTCCGTATGCACAAATCATGTCAGCAATCCTAAGATGGCAGTAAGCAGTGACCAGAATAAAATTAATACCAAAGTAGTGCCAGCAATATCAAGCTGTATATTGAGCATAAACAAAGTGCATTCAAGTAAAGACACACAACTTCAAGATAGCACAAGTATGTACCTGCATCTAATTACATTTACAATGTGTTTAATTTCATAATATATATTCGATTTCTAAGCATTGTAATCATCAAAATTTCTTTTGTTGTTATAGTCGGTACACAAAAAACTCAATCTGATAATATTAACTCCATGTTATCTGATAATATTAGTTCAAATCCATCAACTACAAAAAGCTCTAAAACGCTTTGTGATCCAATAATACAAAATTATACTAGAATGACAAGTAAGATGATAAGTTATAGACATTTATTTTCGTAGTTGATAAGAATGCTTAAAAAATATTGCATAAAACATCTTACAATTATTTTTATAATTGAAGTATGTAAAAAATGTAGATAATCTAAATCCTAAATAAATTTTTAGGCGCTCGACTTACACAAACAATGCCTGTGTATCCTGGAACTACAGTATCGAGCGGTCCTGGGCCACCTCAAGTTAAACAAGTTCCCATAACATTAATGTGTACGAAACTGCCATCGGAACAAATTGTAACCTTTGATCAATCTACTGCCAAAACGGTAAATCTA